GTTTGAATTTTCGAAATATAACGGAAAAAACGGAAAACGCTTTGCCACTTAAAGGGTGATTTCTTTAAACCGTTTTTCCAATGGACAATTTATAAATTTATCTTTTTTTATAATCTATATATATAAATGTATACAAAGTTTCATAAAAATCAAAAGTTATTACTTCGTGTGGTACCCTTGTGTGTTTTCGCATAAGTTTCACTTGTTGTTTCTGATATAAATTTTTTTTACAAAATATAGAAGCAGCATTCTTGCTCAATAATACAAAATTATGTGAAGAGTGATTATCTTATAAGAATATTAATGATATATTACACGATAATATTATAATAAAAATTATACAGGGTGTCTAGTAATTCTGTAAAAGAACGCTTGTGTGTAGGTAGAACAAACTGAATCGAAAAGTCCTGTACCATTTTGCAACTTGTTAACTTTCATGTATTATGCTCTATTATGTACAATATAAACTATATTAATATTATAAACTATATTAATATTTGTTAATATTAATAAAATAATATTTGTTAAACTAATATTAATAGTATAGGGTAATTCAAAATAAATGTCTTTAAAATATTCCTGGTTTAATTCTAAGACGATTTTATATTTGTGAAAATTTTGTTCAAAGCTTAGTTTTTAAATTATATAATAGTAAGAAATAGCGAATGGCGGAAAGGTATATATGTAATACTACAATGGCCATTCATCCAGAATCAGAACTCATATTCAAGACCATCATAAGTACAGTCTTAAGAAATTACGAATCAATCAAAGGACCGCATTAGCATCTTAAGACATTATTTATGACAGTCTTGAAATAAAAACGGATATGAATACCATTCTACATGACTAGTGAGCTATATGAATGCTACAAAAAAGAACATAGAAGGATAGAAGATGCTCAGTTATTGATCGTCTGAGAGAGATGTCATTCAATGTGCAGTGGCGTCATTAAAATAAACAAGTAAAGCTCTTCCAAAAGAAGTGGAGCATTTATTACGTAGTTTAGTTACGTATATTACAAATAACTCAAAAAGGTCTGCACTTTTAAAAGAATTTCAGCTATTTTGTGAAGAAGAAAAAAGTCATTTATTAAAACCTTCTACAACAAGATGGCTTTCACTTCAACATTGCGTAGTAAGAGTTTTGGAGCATTGGAACTCTCTGAATTTGTATTTTATTGATGCAGTACACACAGATGACTTAGGCTTCGCTAAAGATATATTAAAAAGGTTGAAATGTCCTATAATAAAGGCATACTTGTATTTTCTAAAGTACGTCTTAAATATTTTTAACGCGTTTAATGCATTGCTTCAGTCATCAAAAGTAGTAATTTCTATTTTACACGAAGAAAGTAATAAAATTATCAAAAATAAGTGTCAAAACTTTAAAATCAGACCTTCTTAGGTTACCTATCAAAGATATTGATAAATTTAATCTACGTAATTACTTGCCAAATGACAAGATTTTTATAGAACGTGAATGTCAAGAACAAATTAAATTATTTCAGGAAAAGTATTAGATCACAGAGTTTTACAATAATAATATCCTGCGTTTTTATATAATAGCTACGTCGGAATTAAAAAAGCGACTTCCTCATAGTGATCCACTCTTTACCGAGTTTGAATTATTGAAGCCCTCAATTGCATTATTGAGACAAATAGTACCTCTTATAACAAATGTAATAGAAGTATTTTCAGAATTAATAAAGCCGAGTTTAATCGAAGAAGAGTGGAGATATTTAGCCATTTTTTTTAACAGGATGATCGTGTTGAAGCTCTTTTTAAAATGAGATCATTAGATCATTAAAATGATCATTAGATGAGATGTGGCATACAATATCTCAAGTGCAAAATTATGAAGATAAATTTATCTTCGAAAACGTTGCAATGTTAGCTAAACTAGTTTTAAATATTTCACATGCAAATGTTGATGCAGAACGAATGTTGATAGAACTCATGGATGATAGATTTTATAATCAAAAAGCGAAATCTTTTCTCGCTAATGATATAATACAGGGTGGGCCATCTATTGGTACGTTTTTAAAAATGCGATCAAATGAGCATACATTGATATTTTTTATTAATTTTTTTTTTGTTGTGAAGCTAAAAGTATCCGCGTCAAGAATGAAAAACGATTTCGTTCATGTGGCTCCCTCTACTGGCCTTACAGTATGCCATTCGGTCACCCCAATTATTAATGACATTTTGGACTACCTCGGCGCCAATTTCACTCAAAACAGTCGTAATATTGTTTTTCAAAGCTGGAATTGTCTCACACTTTGGGCCACAGCCTCAATATTCTCGGGTGTGCGCACTGTCCGAGCTCTGGGACCACTTCTGTCATCCACTAACATCCCTTTCTCACGAACTTTCCTCACCAATTTGCGTATAGCTCCTTCGGTGGGTGCTCTATCACGACCCATATTTCTTTTCAAAATTCGTACAGTTTCGGCGACACAGCACTGACTTTGAAAATAAGTTTTTAAAATTTCAAAACGCTCTTCAAGAGAAAACATGTTGTTTCGTGCCGCGGACGGTATGACTAATAAACTGTCAAAATTTCGGGTCTGTAGCTCGTTCGGTGTTGCCATACGACGAAATTCAAAAACGTACCAATAGATGGCCCACCCTGTATTAAGTATTATGGTTACAAAATCTTCCTTCCATGATGACACGATTTGCTGCAAAGATTTTAAAATTAGCGAGGAACATAGAAACCTACATAACCATAATACTCGCGTGGCGTAAAATCTCGGAAAACTGTTTTAAAGATAAATGCATAATATTATATAATATGTTTGTGTTGTCTTTGTTTGTATTATTTGCGATATCAATAGAATAAAGAATACATATATGTATTTATGTATGTACATATACAAATAGGATACAAGCATTCTAACCCATGGATACAGCAACCAGCAGATGGCTCCAGTGTCGCGCCGATGGGGAGGACGAAATCATAAATGCTGGGTTCGAAGGGGGAAGCGCGTCATCGGGGTCTGTGTTAGAGGGGGTTTGTTCCTTCTTTCTTTTACTCGTTGCGTTCTTTCTTTAAACTATTGTCCTCTCTTTCTCTCTCCTATCCATTGTAAGATGCATTTCTCTCTCTTTCACCCGTTGCAATCCTATACTTATTATTTGTGCTCTTTCTTCCTTCCGTTGCGCTCTCTTTTCTTTTTTTCTTTTGATTTTATTAAATAGATATGGTATTTACGATTTTTTAATAATATGACTCGATTATAAATAATTTTAATTTAGCAACTGATAATATGTTTAGTAATACAAGTGGCTAAGCCTATGAATGTTTGGTCGTATTTTGTAACAGAGGATATTCATACAAATCTCACGAGCGAAAACTCATGCTCAGATAACGCTTTCTAATGCTCGTAGCACAATTTATTTATTTCGCTCAATAACACGTATGACATTCGCCACTGCACTTTGAACAATTCAAGCGTCGGATTTGTCGCCGGATCTCCAATCAGATAATTGTTGTTGTGCGATTTTATCAATATCAACTCGTGACGAGCGTTGACGACCACGTATTTGTAATCCTCGCAAAAGCTCAACAGCATGTTGAGCGGTAACGCAAAAATTAAAGTGTCCTTCCTCTGTGTCGGATCTAGTGTTCCATCCAGCGTTCAGCGCAATCAAAGATTTGTCATACATCAGCGACACATAGTTCTTGATGATACTGATAATTCCGACTTCTGTTGCGATCAATCTCCACACCGTTGAGTTCGTATCGAATTTCATCAAACATGAACGCGACGCAATTATTTGCCAATACCGCGGTAGTACCTTGGATCTCTCTGTTCCTCGTCAGTTTTCCCTCAACATATAGAAAGTTTTTACATGGCATCATGTATAAATCCTGTTGCTATATGGATATTCTTATCTCGTCGCTATACCCAAATGTTGTATTAGCAAACGGATTGTATGTGTGAGTCTCAAACTTTACGATGCGATCGTCGAAGATCGGATCATTCTTGATGTTTAGGATATCAGTCATCTCGAAAGTTACGTATCATGAACCCCAAAGATTTAAAAAATATGATGATCTGTGATAGGTTGATATCGTCGAGATGCCATACTTGCATTTCAACAGAGGTTATCACTGCATACTCACCGTCATCGATGTATTGAGCAAGTAACAGTGGAATGAGTGGAAAAGGGCCAGATTGGTTTTTATTAAAAAGCCGGGTAAGTCAGACCTTTCCCCGTTCTCGTATAGGCCTATTTGCCTGTTAAGCGAGGCGGGGAAACTCTTTGAGAGAGTAGTGGTCCGTAGACTGCATGCCTTCCTGGATGCATCGGGGGGTGTCGCGAACGGCCAGTATGGCTTTCGCCAGTATCGCTCCACAATCGATGCGATCTGGAATTTAAGGGGGCGCGTCGACGAGGGTCTACGGGATGGAGGTGTAGTGGTGGCGGTATCGTTGGACATAGCCAACGCATTCAACTCCCTCCCGTGGCCAATCATTGGGAAGGCCTTGGAGGAAAAGGGTGTGCCGGGATATCTGAGATGCATCCTCGGCAGTTATCTGTCCGGTCGTGTTCTATCCTATGTCGATAGGAGGGATCGATTGATGCGTGCGCCTATTACATGCAGAGTTCTACAGGGTTCGGTGTTGGGACCAACGAATCCCTGTGGAACGTTGGATATGATTCTATTTTGAGGCTTCGACTGCCGATCGGATGTTCGGTTACATGTTATGCGGACCTTTTGGTGGCATGTGCTGATTCATTCGAGGAGGCGCGTGTGAAGGCTGAGGTGGGGGCTACCTTCGTGATCCGTTCTATAGAGCGCCTTGGGCTGAGGGTCTCCATTGCTAAAACTGAGGCTGCGGCTTTCTCAGCCAAGGGGGTGCCGGCGCTACTATTCGGGTTGGGGAGGTGGTTTCGATTGGGACTGCCGTGAAATATCTGGGTCTAACTCTGGATTCGCGGTGGACCTTCCGAGACCACTTCCGCCTCCTTCTGCCCAGGGCTTGGGGCATGGCGATGGCCCTGACACGTCTTGCCGCCAACATTGGCGGCCCTGGCGAGCGGCGGCGGTGTTTGTATGCGACGGCAGTCATGTCAGTTGTTTTGTATGCCGCTCCGATCTGGGCGCAAACTGTGGCAGGTGATCGCAGGATCCTGAGGGATGTGCGTAGGCTGCAGCGGCAGCTCGCCCTCAGGATCATCCGTGGATATCGTACAATTTCCCACGAGTCTGTGGCTGTCCTCTCGGGGATGGTTCCATTTGACATAGTTGCAGATCGACTGAGAAGGTCATATCTTCGGCGGCGGGTGATTATAGTTAGGAACGAGGGTATTGCTCCTCGGGTGAGCTCAATATTGGCTGAGATGGAGCGTCGCTGCTCTGTTTCGAGGTGGCGTGAGCGTCTGGTTGACTGTGGCATTGCGAGCGTTGGTCGCGGCGCTGCGAACGTTAGCTGCGGCGCTGCGAGCGCCAGTGGCGGCGCTGCATGCGTCCGTCACGGCGCTGATGTGGTCGTTCTTTCCGTTTCTTCTTCCGTTCACTCTCTCTGATGTCATGGCGCGCAGACCTCTGCGTGTAAGTCTCTGCGATAGTCAGTAAGTTAGAACTCGGAAGTTGAGGTTCCGAATTACTTTGTGTATTCCGCGAGACCAATACCGATAACTGCTCATGTTTATGATAATTGTTAGCGTCGTCGGATAATTTCTTAGAGTGTATTTTCATAGTTCTAGTATTGTAATTCCGCGACACGATGCCGGTATCCGAGCCGTCTTACACGCGCAATCACGTCTCTGCTTTCTAATCTCTTTGTATTTAGTATTTAGTCAGTTAGATATTAAGTGTGTATTAAATCGCCTCATGGCATAAAAATCAGAAGCAGTGAGTAGCGCTCATTCTCAACCTAACGATTTCCCGCCAATTGTCCTTCGTCGTGGTTGGCAACCACCGGCGCCATATTTCGTAGCA